AGGGATCTCTTTGCCAGTGCTGAGGCAGGAATCTCTTGCTCTGCCCGTGCTTGGATCTGGGTCATAGTTCTGAGGGGCGGTCCTGGGGCGAGAAGGAACGCTGGTGTGGTGGAGCTTGTTGTGGCAGTGGAGAGGAAACACCTTGCCCCTTATCATAGCACCTTGGAACAACTGCAAATTTTCAGATACCTAGAAGTATCTCTGAAAACAGCTGTACAAATCCCTGAAACTTGGAACAGTACATTCTCTACATTGGAAGCAGACTTTTACCTTAACAAAGAGTTTAAATTCAAGTAATTGGCTGGGATCATCAGTAATCAGTGCAAAAAAGTCAGACTATATTATCTTACTTTGATGACAAAGAAGATCAAAACATACAACCAGAAGAAGACAACGAAGCCAAAGCTCCTACATCCAAAGTCTCCAAGAAAAATATGAATCAGTCCCAGGCCTTGGAAGAGTTCAAAAGGGATTTTGAGAAGCAAGTAAGAGAAGTAGAGGAAAAACTGAGAGTGATGCAAGAAAATCATGAAAAAGAAGTCAACAGCTTACCAAAAAAATACTGAAGAAAATAACATCTTAAAAAGTAGCCTAACCCAAATAGCAAAAGCGGTCCAAAAAGCCAATGAGGAGAAGAATGCACTAAAGTGCAAAATTGGCCAAATAGAAAAGGAAGTCCAAAAGATTACTGAAGAAAATACTTCCCTAAAAATTAGAATGGAGCAATTGGAAGCTAGTGACTTTATCAAGACACTGTAAAACAAATCCAAAAGAATGAAAAATTAGAAAACAATGTGAAATATCTCATTGGAAAAACAACTGACCTGGAAAATAGATCCAGGAGAGAGAATTTAAAAATTATTGGACTATCTGAAAGCCATGATCAAAAAAAGAGCTTAGACATCATCTTTCAAGAAATTATCCAGGAAAAGTGTCTTGATATATTAGAACCAGAGGGCAAAATAGAAATTGAAAGAATCCACCAATCACCTTTTGAAAAAGATCCCCAAAGGAAAATTCCTAGGAATTTTTAGCCAAATTCCAGAGTTCTCAGGTCAAGGAGAAAATATTGCAAGCAGCCAGAAAGAAACAATTCAAGTATTGTGGAAACACAATCAGGATAACACAAGATTTAGTTGCTTCTACATTAACGGACCACAGGGCATGGAATATAATATTCTGGAGGGCAAGGGAGATAGGATTACAACCAAGAATTATCTACCCAGCAAAACTGAGTATAATCCTGCAGGGGAAAAAGTGGTTGTTCAGTGAAACAGAGGACTTTCAAGCATTCATGATGAAAAGACCAGAGCTCAATGGAAAATTTGATTTTCAAGTACAAGACCCAAGTGGAACATGAAGAGGTAAACAGGAAAGAGAAAATCACAAGAGACTTATTAAGGTTGAACTGTTTACATTCCTGCATGGAGATGATATTTGTAACTCATGAGACCTTTGTCAGTATTAGGGTAGTTGGAGGGGAAAAAATTATATGTATGTGTATATATATATATATATATGTATAGATATAGATATAGATAGATAGATAGAGGGTACAGGGTGAGTTGATAATGAAGGGCTCATATCTGGAGAATAAAATTAAGGGGTAAGAGAGGATTATACTAGGAGAAGGAGAAAGGGAGAGTTAGAACGGGGTAAATTATCTCACAAAAAAAGCAGAAAAGAAAAGGCTCTTACAGTGGAGGGGAAACGGGGGAAGGTGAGGGAATGAGTGAATCTTATTCTCATCGGATTTTGCTTAAGGAGGGAATAACATACACACTCAATTGGATATGGAAATCTGTCTTACCCTACAGGAAAATGGGGGGAGGGAAGGGGACAAGAGAGTAGGGGGATGATAGAGAGGAGAGCAGATTGGGAAAGGGGGTAATCAGAAGCAAATGCTTCTGAGGAGGCACAGGGTCAAAAGAAAGAATAGAATAAATGGAGGGGCAGGATAGGATTAAGGGAAATAGAGTTAGTTTTCCACAGCACGTTTTGCATAAATGCACATATATAACCTATATTTAGTTGCTTGCCTTATCAATGAGGGTGAGTGAGGAGGGAGGAAGGGAGAAAATTTGGAACCCAAAGTTTTAAAAATACATGTTTAAAAAAAATGTTTTCACATGCAACTGGGAAATAAGAAATACAGGAAATGGGGTATAGAAATCCATCCTGCCCTACAGGAAAATTGAAGGGGAAGGGGATAAGAGAAGTGGGGAGAGATAATGCACTAAAGTGCAAAATTGGCCAAATGGAAAAGGAAGTCCAAAAGATTACTGAAGGGAAGCCAGACTAGGGGAATGGGTATTCAGAATACATGCCATCTTGGGGTGGGGGGAGGGGCGAGATGGGGTGAAAATTTGGAACTCAAAATCTTGTGGAAATAAATGTTGAAAACAAAAAAAAAAATAAAAATTACCATTAAAAAATAAAGTTTGGAAAGCTTCATAGGAGGATCCAGTCAATTTAAAAGGCTCCAGCTGGTCATTTTTAAGTAGATCATAGAGGAGGTAGGCAATAAAGGCAAATCCAGGGATCCATAGGTGACAATATCTGGCAAGTCCCAAAAAGGCTCTAAGCAGCAGCTTAGTGGTTGAATGAGGAAATTGAAGAATGCCTTTAAGATGGCCAGAGTCTAAATGAAGTCCATCAGAAGTAACAATATGGTCAAGGAATTTAACATAAGGAGAAGAAAACTGAAGCTTCTCCCTGGAAACTTTATGTTCCTTTTTGGCAACTGAGGTTAAAAAGTACAGTGAGTCTTTAACACACACATCAAATGAAGGGGAACACAATAAAAAATCATCAATATATTGGAGAAGATTGGATCTAGAAAATGACCTCTGTCCATTGTTCCTTATTCTAGTCTAGCTCATGTGAACTCTGATTCTTACTCAACTATTCTTGGGCCAAGTCTACACTGTAGACATTTTTCTGGAGATGTGACAATTCTCAGAATAATTCAGTTATCCAAGATGGCCCAACTACTTACTGGAACATTTATGAAGAAAATTTTAATGCTGGGCCATTAATGCTTATTAGACAAAAGTAAAGTACTTTCCAGCAATTATTTAACTAAGAGTGAGTGAGACACTGCCTTGCATTCCTCACAGACTGAACAGAAAAGAAATACAAAAAAGACGAAAAAAGCCGTACAAAGACAACAGAGACCAATTGGGTTAGCAAATTGTTTCCTCTCAAAAATTTTCATAGACCTAATTTAGTTGAGTCAGAGAGAACTATTTCTAAGGTGATGAAAATGATACTTTACTTTTTCCTTATCCTTTGTAAAACTTTCACATGTTATCTTACTTGATCATAACAACCAGATATGTAGCGTATAATATATGTTATGGGCAGTGTGGTACAATAGAAAAAATTCTGGATTTGGGGTCTGAGGACCAATGTTTAAATCCTGACTTTACTTTTTACCACCTTTATGACCTTGGGCAAGTCACTTAACCTTTATGGGCCTCAGTTTCCTCATGTATAAAATGGGAGCATTAGAGTAGATAAATAACATCTAAGGTACTTCCTAACTCCAAATCTCCATTTTACAGATGTGGGAACAGGCTCAGAAGCAATAAATGATGATATAAGAAATAATGACAGGAAACTCTGAGTTACTAAAAGTACCTCCCATCATTAGTATGCACTCTCATTGTACATATTTTGCAGTAATAATTTTCTGAATAAGTATTCATCTTTTTTTAAAGACAGCTGTAACTGGCTAACTCTTCCCAGGAATCTTAGACCTAGGATACTGAAAATAAACTAAAAATTAAAAACACACACATATACATGAAACAAATATCTCCTCTGAAGCATGACTATCTATACACACAGACACACATGAACATACATGCTATATATGAATTTAAATGATCTAGATGAGACAATTGGAGCTCAGATAAACTTATACAATGAGTCAGTACAACAGTCTATTTCAATGTTATATAGTCACCCAGTATTACTGTTATATTATTGCTTGAAATTTTAGGAGCTATTCATCATTGTCAGACTGCAAACAATAGGCAATTAATGCTGAAGTCATACAGGAAAGGTAAGACTAATTAGCTAAAAGTAAAGAAAGAGTTTCAATTAACTTTTTTCTCTAGTTAAATAAGAAGTGTTTAAATAAAGCACTTACATTCTCACAACAAAGTGATTTTTTTTCTAAATAAGCGTAAATTAAATTGGAGTGGTTGAATTCAACTCTAAGGAGAAAACTGAACAGTTTAGGGCAGAAGGCTCTTTGTGTGTAATAAATTCCTTAGTCTTCTCTAATACAAGTTACTTTATGTAATTTTCAATTATTGCTTTTTAGTACTTTCTAGATGAGACAGCTCTAATAAGATAAGTCAAATATAAAAATATATCCTAAAAAAAGTATTTTTGGGAACTTTTTGGAAGAGCATGATGTCCGTTTGAAAGAGAGCAAACAAATCCTGGAGTATATACACACCTCTGCAGTCTAAAGGTTAAACAGGACATTTTTTTCCCCTTTGTTTGATCAGTTTTGAATGTGTTTCTAATTCTCATTCTAGAGATTCACATATCCTTTGTCTCTGCCCTCTTAGTCCAGTTTTGGAATCTAGAAAGGTAGAAATCCAGAGTTTGTGGACTGAATAGTTGCTTCTTATAGGAGGTATAGAAGAATCAATTACAATTTGTTAAAGAAATGAAACAAACAAGAACTGTGAACTTTTGTTATTTAATTATGTATTTTAATAGTACATTTCTAAAGTACCAGGATGACAGACCATATTCATGCTCAGCTCCCTAGGGGAGCTGGCAGCTGCACCTCTCACAAAAAAAGGGATGACTATCTGGAAAATCTTTCTCACCTGGAGACGGTATTCCAGAAAACTGGTCAGGAGCTCAATGGGAGGGACCGCTGTTCCTTTAGCAGATAGGTTCTTGACATCAAAATACATGTTGAGACAACGATCCCTTCAGGCAAACATTTTTTGTCAGTGTAGCAGAGTGCCAGGAATAAGGAGGAACTAAGGGAGTCTTGTATACCTCTGCTCCATGAAGGGCGGGTTGGTGATAGTGCCCTAAAGATAAACGGGGTGGTGAGAATTGGATTCTTCTGCCTCTGTGAAACAACTGCCCTGCTCAGCTTAATTAAAAAAAAAAAAAAAGCGCCAGGGAGATGATGGCAACCTGAGATACTTCTTTCCTACCACTACTTTCTCCGTGATAAGACTTGAGAAATCGCTAGGAGGGGCCCCTCAGTGTCTCCTGGGAGTTCTGGTGGCCTTACGTCAGAGGGGTGAAGTTCTTGGGATTGGGAAAGGTGAGAGAGACTGAGAAGAGAAGCAACTCTTCTGTTCCTCCTCCTCCTCCTCCCGCATCTGCAGCCACTTCTCACTCCCACGACACACTCTCAGTTGGGAAGCCGCTGTTGTGGTCCCGGCTGGAGATTCCGCTCGGGGTTGCCTCTCTTGCTGTCCCACTTTGCTTTTATATTCCGTGCCTCCCCTAGAGGCAGCAGTTTTTTCCTCCTCTGCCCTCAGATCCTGCTTCCAATGTCCACAGACCGGCCAGGACGCTCCTGGGCTGTAGCCAACTGCCTGAAATTCCTGCTGATCCTCTTGGTGAGTATGGCCGCCGGTTAGTGCACTCCAGGGGAGAGAAAGGAGCCTATTGCCCCCAGGTAGCCACTTGGGCAGCCCTCCCAGGAGGGTGGGGTTGGTAGCCCAAGGGCGGGGGATCAGCCTGGGCTAGGGGTAGGGGTCAGCTGGACTGGGCTGGGGGGAAGTTGGGAATGGAGGGGATGGATCGCCCATGCGAACCGGAAAGCCTGTTGGGGGAAAAGGCGACTGGGGGAAAGGAAGAAGAGCAACAGTCTGGGAGAGGAGCGGAGCCTGGGAATAGGGTTTCAGCCTGGGAAGCTGACGGGCGTTTCCCTTAGCCTTCATTCCTAAACTGTGGCCTCTGCTTATAGGAGGCGTGTGCGTGCCTGCATGTGCCTAAGATTCTGAAGCCTATTCAGTCACTTGGAAATCGCCTAGTTCTTCAGTTTCCCCCTACCCCCGGCCCCCTCTAGGGTCGTATCCTGACCACTGGGGCGGCCGTGGCTCATTTTCGTGGGTGGGATTGTTGAGCTCCTAACCCTAGCCCAACAAAAAGGGTATATCCAGCCCCCAAATGAAAGAAAAAAGACAAAAGGATTGAGTTTCCTGAAACTTGAGAGCTCCTGGGAAATGCAGGGAGACCTGGAGCTGAGAGAGCGAGAAAGAAAACGGTTACGGGCAGAAGAGGAAAAGTGAGAAGCTTCCTTTCTTCCTGGGGAGAAACTTAGCCTTATCCTTGGGTGGGGAGAAACGGGTGTGAAGCCGGGTGGGGCAAAGCCTCCTAGCGTTCAGGTTAGATCTCGGCCTTTGCTTTAACCTTCGGGGATAATTTGCCCCTAATTCATTGTGCCCAAGGAAAGGAAAAAAAGCCAGAGGGAAAGGGGAGAGCTTATTTTGGATGGGAAGCTCTTAACCTCAGCGAAGAGGACACAGGAGCTGCTGGGCAGGGAGGAGAAGGAGGGAGATAAAGGTAGTTGGGACGGCAGGAGTTTGGGCAAGTTCACGCATCCCTAATGAAACTAATAATTCACATTTATATAGTACTTTAAGCTTCTTAAGACATTGTCCCAAGGTTTGAAAATTAGTCTGGTGCGGAATGCTGTCCGTCTGAGTAAGCCTTTAATGTAACATGAATTCATGAGGCGTGTGGGGAAACATTCACATTGGAGGGCAGTATGTTATAAAATAGGCACATATAAAAAGATTAAAAGTAGTTCCTCCTTGAGACTTTGTGCCTATCCCTAGTACTTGTCCTGAGAATAAACAAAGCTAAGTGGGAAAGTCCTGGATGTGCGCAAAAGCCAAGTTGATAGCTTCAGGCCGCAGGTTTTCTGGTTGCGCCTAGAAACTGGTGGAGAGGCATCCATAGAGAGCAAGGAAAGGGGCCTTTTACTTTCCTGCTTTCTTGAGATGAGCTTGGGTTTACTTTGCAGGGCAGTAGAGGCCAATGAAATGAATACCTCGTCCTTGCCAAATTTGTCTGTCTTTTAGTACACATATATGGCATACAAATGCCTTGTCTCTCCAACTAAGACTTCAGGGCAAGGATCAAACTTGCGACTTATTAGTATTCTTCATGGTGCCTAGCATTGTGCTTTGTACGAAGTGGATAATGAAATATTTGGTAACTGATTGGCTCCTCCATAAAGCCCTTCTTGAACGCCTCCTCTGGGTGTGGAGGTGGCCCTGTTTTCTTGAAGTCTATCCTACTTGTGTGCAAGCTCTGGCAGGTCTTACCAAACTAGAAAGGCTTTGAAATGTCTGTTGTAGACTGGACTGACTAGGTTGAGAGGCTCATCAGCTGCTGGTCATTACATGATTAATTATTTTGACCATTCTAATCACAAAATTAAAGCACGAGGGATAAAGCCACAAGGGTAAAATCATAGATAATTTGAAAATTTGAAGTTGATGGATCAGTTATTATCTATAGCTGTGGGGAGCAATGATCATTTAAAAACATATAAACCTTGCCCAAGTATGAAGAAAACCTCTGCACATGGGTAAATATTTTTTTAAATGCTTTTTTTTGTAAATCTTTTGAAAGGTATTGAATCTTTAACTTTTTTTAAATGGTGCTTATGTTGTTATTTCTATTCTAAAGTTGATGCGTAGAACAGGTAGGGAGTCTGGACTAGTTTGGAGGTCGTAAAGGCTGGTTTAGTAAGATTTTGGTTTTTGTAGGTCCCTGTAGGGAGGATAGGGAAACAGCTCAGCTGGGAGTTAAGTCTTAGGAGGGCTGGTCTAGGGGAGAGCAGAATAATATACAGGTATTATATACCCAGGTTAGTAACTTCCCCACTTCACATTTCATTTATTTCTTTTAAAAGGAAAAATTTTAGGTAAAAGGTCTTAACTTGAGGATGTTGTTTCTAAATTACATTTTTTTCTTTAATCTTCTCTCACCTATTCACATAATCTCTTCAACAAACACCTGCACTCCTATCCAGATTAATACATTTGCACCTTTACAAACTTTCCTCTTTCTATTAATTATATAGATCCAAATGACACAATGTTCCCAATTAGAAAGTTCATTTTCTTTTTCAATTTAATGTAGGTGTGTAGTGTAGTAGCCTTAAAACACACACACACACACACACACACACACACTCACATACACATACATACACATACATGTTCCTATTTTGTCTAAAATCACTAGGACTCTGGAAAACAATTTTTTTTTTCTTGAAGAAATATTCCTAAGGAAGCTTTTTTAAAATAGCAGCCTTAGGCTTTTAAAGCTACAGTGAATCTTCTGCATTATTAGCAGATGGAATGGAAAGAATATTGTTTTTTAAATCAGGTTTGAACCCCAGCTGTTCTACTTGCTACTTGGTTGGTCTTAGAGATGTCCTTTAATTTCTGTGGGTCTCAATTTCTTCACAAGTTGTGGGGAAAGACCTCCAATGTTCCTTCCAGCTCTAAATCTGTTATCCCCTATCATCTTCAATTTGTACTATATTTCTTTTTGTAAGTTGAAGAAATTGCTAAGCAGTTTTTTGATTCTAAGATTTTCCTCCCCTCAAATTTTGTTTAATATTATTTTACATCTTCCCTGTCCTCAATCTTTAAGATTTTTCCAAAAAGTGAAGAAAAAATATTGTTAGGATAGCCACCTGTTAGTAAAATTGTACTAAAGCAAACAGTTGGCTTCCATTTTAAAGCATTTCCAACTTAAAACAGATATGATAAAATGGGGGAAATGGTTTGTATTTGCTTACTCAGGTCTCTTCACACTTTTGAATATAAAAAGAGTTACAGTTGATCTGCCAGTTACTTCTCCAAAAAGGACTGAAAAATCTTAATATATTTCTTTACATATCATAAAATTTGCAGCAACTCTCAAGGTGTGTGCTGAGGGCTGCTTTTTTCCTTCATATGAACTATATTTACTACCTGCTGTTTGTGAAAGTGTGAGGCATAGTGAATAGAATAAGCCTCAGAGTCAGGAAAACTTGTGTTCAAGGACTGCTTCTGTCACATGTTGGTCATGTGGCCCTTAGCAAGTCACTCTACCTCTCAGTGGCCCAAGCCAATCTTTTCACTCTGTAATTTGATTTTTTATTTTGACTCTTTAAATTGAAGAATTTTCTCATCAGAAGTTAACTACCCCCCCAAAAAAATTGCAAGAAAGAGGGCTTGTTGAGTATTTTTGGACATATTGCTTTCATTCCCTTCATTTGTCACAGTAAACCGTAAGACTGGTAAAATCATTTAACCTTTTAACATCCCAGGTAACTCTCTATAACCACATCAATATTGCTGATCTGAATTAATGAAGGAAGTTACTAAGCAAAATAAATTGTGATATGGTATTATAATCCAATCATTTTCATATTTTCTCCCTTACTGTTTTAAAATGATGTAACTCCCTTGCTTATAAAGGGTAATGTTGCATATGATTAGTGATATACAACTTTTGCTGCTTCAAAAGATTTCATAATTTCATGGATTACTTGCTCCACCAAAGAAATTTGCAACCCTTCCAAAACTCTGTTTTGTGAATTGCTACTGACAAAATAAGTTTGGTGGCCAAATTTCTGGTAATGAATTACAGAGTGTCAAAGATAGATGAGAATTTATAGATGGTCTGATCTATCTTTCTCATTTTTCAGATGAGTAAACTGAAGCACTCAGAGATTGTGCTTTGCTAAAGGTTACAAAGCTGTTAAGTATCAGAACAAAGATTAGATGCTAATTTTTCCATTTCCTAGTTCATTGCTTTTTTTCTTTTTAATTTATTTCTAAAATAGCTGTCCAAAAGTAGAAGGAGTTGCCTCAGGAACAAGTTCCCATGGTAAGGAAGAATTCAAGTGGAGGATAGGTGATCACTTATTGGGGATAGTATAGAAGGGATTCTTGTTTGGATGTGAGTTGGACTAAATATCTTCCAAGGCTCATTCCAACTCTAAGGTTTTAGGATTTAAGGGAAGAACATGTAAATTATACTTTTTTTTTAAAGCACAGTGGTTTGCAAAGATTAGGTGCTTAATGATGATGTGTCAAGTTGATTTTAAACAAAAAAGAAGTACAGTAATATTTAACTGGAATTTCATTAATTTGAACTCACAAATGACACATTTGTAAAAGAGGTAAATGTAATAAAAGAAACGATATGATTCATTATTTTAAATACAGCTTTCAGGGTATGTCAAAGCTTTGATACATATTTCATGTAATTTCTATCACCTATAACGCAAATATAATGATTGTTCATAGTGACAACTCTGTGAACATGCAAAGTTTTGAAGTGCCTTCTGACTCATTCTGATTCATAATTGTAGACTCTTAGAGGTTGTCTAGTTCAACCCTTTACCCAAATATTGAATCCCAGTTGCAATATCTGATCTAGCTAGTGGTTATCTAGAATTTTCTTGAAGATGTCTATTGTGTCAGAGCCTAGTACTTCCACACCCTTCCCAAAAGGCACCCATTTCATTTTTAGAATACACAAACTGTTAGGAGATTTTCCACTTACAAGATCATGGAGATAGACCTAGATTGGAGCCTCAGAA